AGCTGGGTGTCTGCCGGCTGCTCTCTGAGTCGCCGGTTGAATTCCTCGGTCTTCCCGGTCAGAGGGGCAGCGCTTTCTCCCATCTTTGCCTCCGGGATTTGCTCCTCCGGCCCCTTCCCCTGCAGCCAGAGCGCCGTGGAGGAGTCGTACACACCCAGAGGATTCCCACAGGACGTCTGCACTCTGCCAGCTGAACCAAAAAAACAGGAGTTAATCACAAGGACTAAATCACAAACTACAGCAGAACCTCTATATGGAGTTTAACTGGTTCCAGGAGCGACTTCTGTGTTAAATATTGGTGTGTTGGTTCAAATCTTCCATCAGAATACTCTGTAATTCCTAGAATTGGTTCCAAAAACCTACGATAACTCCTTAATAAATTCTGCAGATAATTACACATAGCAAGAAAACAAATGACTTCTGGAAGAGAGATGGAAAAAGAAATAAATGATAAAGAAATAATCAATAAAAAGGGTTTTTATTGTCCCTTTAGCTCAGAGACTGAAGAACGGAGGTAGAGGTGGAGACTGAGATACAGGACCAACCCTAACTCACTCTGACTTTATACAGAAACTATAAACCAACTTAGCTTAGTAATTTTTATATTTTATATATATTTTTCTAGGACTTCGACATATGTTGGAAGTCTGTGGAGTCGAATATTTGATCAAATTTCACTTCGGATGTTGGAAAATTTGTATGTTTCGACAATTGTAAGTAGAGGTTCTGCTGTACAAACAACTTATAACTGTAGGTTTTTGTGTGTTTCTTGTTTTTATTTGACCTGTCTCTTTGCTTTTGTTGTCCTCCCCCAGGGGCAGGAAGGAGTCGGCCATGTTGGTGTCGGGCGTTTTGGGGAACGCGGGAACAGGAAGTTCGGACCTCAGCAGCCGCCGACTGGCTGTGGAAAAGTACCTGTCCTTTGATTTCTTACTGTCCTCAGCTTTGCGTTTCTTTTTGGTCTCTGACTCCTCCCAGCTGACCCCCTGCGTGCGAAAATCCAGACCCAGGGCAGAGCTGCCTTTCCTCTTGTACCTGAGGAAGATTTGTATTCAAACACAAACTCTTTGTTTGAAATGTGTGTCTTACATTTATGAGAGGACAGCACTACCTGGCTACATTTCCTCTGTACAGGGACTTGTAAGTCCAGTTGGCTGGATCTGGTTTCCTGTCCACACAAAAGTGCTGAATCATGGTTGACTGAACATCATCCATCCAGGAGAAGGTACTCGCTAATGGAGCCGCCTGTTGCCTGTGAGCACAAAAACACGGTGAAGTCGGTGCTTTTAGGAGTACAAATTAGTATCATAATCACCTGGAGATGTTTGTCATTACCTTTCTGGCTCTTTCTCTCTTTTTAGATCACTCGGGTAGATATTGTCGGAGTCTGATCCACTGCTCCCACTCTTCTTTTTGTTCTTTTTCTTCTTCTTCCTCTTCTTTTCACTTTTCTTTTTCTTCTTTCTGGGTGGGACTTCATCTTCTCCCTTCTCTTCTCCTTCATTGGAACTGACATCCAAACCAGCACTACGAATAATAAGGTCAATTCATCATTTTTGGGATTTAAACAGCGAACCCAGAATAAAAAACTCAAGAATTTAGCAAACAAGTTTTCAAAGCATGATGATGTAATCATACAAAAATATATGTTTCATGAACGTATCATACATTTTTTATACCCTTAAACATGGTTTTACCTCTCTTCCCTCTGGTTTAGCTTCTCCTCAGTTTTCTCTAAAAATCGACTGTGAAGAGAGAGGGCTTCCCCGGTCTGGAAACTCTTGTTGTTCAACCAATCTAATTCTGAAATGAGAACGGGCAGTTTTTCATCAGTAGCTATCAAACTAACCAAGAAGAATTTGGCCGTTCTTTGTCTAGAGTATATTTTTAGTTGTGAATTGTAACAATGGATATTGAAGAGATTAGGGTTAACTAACGTTGACTTTGCTTATAGTTTTCATTAGAGACATACATCGCATGTTTTCTTTGATGTTTGAAACATAAAAGCTGTATTACAGGAAAAGCGATCAGCTATCAACATATAGAGACTAAAACGGCTTATATAAAAACATTCAGGGACTAATAGTGAATATAAAACAAAAAAACGCATGTTTTCTAGCTGTTGCCATAACCCCAAAACGTAAATGTAGTTTAAAACTATTATTTAGATGTTAAAAGTTGGCTATCGCGTTCAGGCTGAACGACAACCTGACGTTGAAGAAGCTAAAAATCAACTCGTAAGCTAGCGACGGCTTTGCTTTCTCGAGGTGACATAAATGCTTTGTTAACGAGAACAAAGTCATAGTTGGAGCTTGTGTTTTATAAATAAGTTATCACCTTTTGACGAATCTTCAACTTTTTTGCCTGCTACTTCTGAAAAAGCTGGAAAGAGAGCCATGATGTCGCATGTAAACAGTCGACGGAAGATGACGTCACATGTGAGCAGGCTGAAAAAAGATGAGTAGAGTTAAATGCAAAGGATAAATAGTTTATTCAGGAAACTGTACATTAATATATTTTAAATAACTTAATCATGGTTTCATAGTAATTTTAGTATATATATCTTTAATTCTAGCAATATATAAATGGGAAAAAAGGTGAAGTAGACGAAGAAGAACAAGAATAAAGCGAAGAAGAAGAAGCATAAGATTTAAAAATGTTCTACTTATTGGACCTTTTAGATCAATGTTTGCAGTAATTGCAAAATACATTATTTCATGCGAATTAACCACAAGAGAAATGTTTTAATCATATTTATCTTAATTCATTTCCAGGATAACAATTTGTTCATTCATGAAAAATACAAATACAAATGAGAAGCAAGATTTATTTAATCCCTCCTTTTTGTTTAGACTGCAAACATGATGGCATTTTGCTGTCAGGAGTGTCTTCCCTTGTCGATCATAACATTACGTTGAGTATGTTATGGAAAAACACAAATGTGGCAAAAAAAACAGAGATTCAAGTTAAAGTCAAAATACTTTAGTTCATATTCTTTGTAATACAAATGTACAATTTGCAGTGAAATGCAAAACTAGACTTTACTGCATTGACGTTAAAAGACATGAGCTAAAACTTTTACTCAAATATACAAAAAAACATTTACAAAGAGAGTAAGAAATTATTCTTATGCCTTGTGGAACAGAAATTAAAGTATAAAGAAGGTGCGCACAGAGTAGTGAAAGATCATGTCATCAATGAACAGAGAAATAAATAGATGTCATCCTAAAGAAATAGAATGACTACGTTAAATTATTTTCTCAAGTGATACTTTAAGTATATACTTCTTTGCCTCCCATTAATTTCTGTATTCGATAACTGTTCATTTATTGTAATGGATCTAAATTAATTTCATGTATTGCTATCCAGTGGTACTATTCAATATTACTTTGGCATAGAAAATATATTTTATCATCTGTTTATTGGACCATGAAGACCGATAACTGCTACAGCTTTAAAAAGATGGTTTACTGAGCAACGTTAATTTGGCTGACAGATTTTATAACCATCTGAGCTATTTACGACAATCTCAAGATTCGGTCCATGATGTTATAAGATTGGGTCCAAAGAAAATATCCTGGCCTAGCTCCTGTTCAGGCACGAATGAATGTGAATGTGTATCAAGGCATTACGTAAGGCAGAGAACACGTTTTATTCTGCAACAGACTACTAAATTTTTGCCTGTTGAGATCAGGACAGAGTTTTTTTAGGTTACAGCTCAAGTTTTCTCCCCACCTGAGATCTCAATGTGGTTTCTGGTGGCAGAGGGAGATTATTTCAAGAAATGTTGATTTATACAAATGTTTATACAGTGTCACAACTTTCCCAAAAAAAGAGTTGGTAGATAATTGTAAGAAATTATTTTTAATAGGGAAACAGATGGAGAAAACTGGGAAATTCCCCTGTTATTGAAGCAGTTGAACAATGAGGTTAAGGAATGAAAACTTAAAGGGCCTTGTATTAAGTGTATATTTTAAAAAATATACCATAAAAGAAAATAAGTAAAGCCACCCTTTGATTAAAGACTTTAGAATGGCAACTATTTTGTTAATTATTAATGTGGCACTGGCAGAAAGCAGACATCCTTGGGCCTATTTTACGCTTGACTTTAAGTTAGATGTACAATAATTTAAATGAAATGTTTTCAGGATAATATTCATCTTGGACTTTTCCTTTAAAAAGTGAATATGTAACTAATTTTCTTCAATAAATTTACAAAAAAAAACATGAACCCTACTAAAATGTTCTGGAAAAGAACGAAAATATACAAATAATGATTGTAAAACAAGACACGGATTATTCGTTTCACGCCTTAAAAGATGCTCGTATTTCGGGTACAGCCTGTGAAAAATCCTAAAATATTTAACTGGCATGTAATTGGACCCGAAACATTTTAAACTGAAACGACTGTATAAAAAAAGTTTGTCCTGTTCGAACAGAGACGCTGTACTGTTTGAAAGTATATTTCACGTCACCACGGCAACCGCACCTCATGTTGAATCAAATGCGCTTTGGCCAATTGGAGGCGCGGTCTGTTTTGATTGACAACCTGCTCGTCCAATAGAAATCACTGAGCAACAACCGTTGGTTTCCAGCCTACCGTACTGCGTCAGTCCGTTGCTGGAGTGTTAGTGAGTACGCAACTTTGTTCGTTCGCTGAGCAAAATCACAAATTTATATTTCGACAAAAATGAGGGAGATTGTGCATCTTCAGGCCGGCCAGTGCGGCAACCAAATCGGAGCTAAGGTGAGTAATGATTTTGTGTGGGTCTAGATTAAGCGGGACACGGTTTGAAAGTAAAATTTAGTTTACGCGGGCTGTAATTTACGTTAGCTCGTTTAGCGACTATGCTAACGGTGACCGTTGGTTCGGACTCGCGGGGCTAAACCCGCTAGCTTTTTCGGTTAACATAAAGGTTTTAATCGACTTTTTTTTCTCCTCCCCCACCTCGATTAGTTCTGGGAGGTGATCAGTGACGAACATGGCATCGACCCGTCCGGGACGTACCACGGGGACAGCGACCTGCAGCTGGAGCGGATCAACGTGTATTACAACGAGGCAACAGGTTAACTCGGCTTTGCTAACCGTCCCGCTACTCGGTTAGATTAGCTAGTTTGTGGTTGAGCCCCGGTAATTCAACACCTCACGGAAACCTTCTCCTTATAATGCCTCCGCCAGCCAGCAGGGGGGCGGCATAGTAGCTCCATTTGAATTGGAAGGCATTTGGGTTACTAAGGCTTAGTTTCCATGGTGAAACGACCCAACATGAAACTGTATACATGTGAAACCTGAGAGAATTTTAGAATAATGGGGTGGTTACTGGCTCACCTGAGGTAATAGAAATAAAAAAGAACCGTTTAATTATGCAATGGTGAATAAAAGTTTATGGTTATTTGGCTCGATTTGAATTTCCTTTTTGTAAATTGAAATATAAAAATCATACAAATTGGTCACTTTTACCAGAAAATTTGCCTTATATAGTAAAAGTAACCGTATTACTAATTTGAGTGTTTTAATTGATCTGATTTGCTTCCAAATGAGGTTAAATTTGGGAAGTTTTGACAAAACGCAAACAATTAAATTACATAAGATTAAAGTTTGAATGAAACTTTTTTTATGAGCATTTTATAGCCCACATTTGAAAGTTTTTTTAGTGTTAATCCTCGACTTTTCTTGTAGATTTGATATACTGTAGATGATTCATAACTAACACTTTATTTTGAGTATCAAAAAGCCTAGTGCCATCCGAATGAACCAAAAGGAAAAATCTTTCCATAATAAAAGCTCTTTTTTCTTAAAAACCCAGGTGGAAAATATGTCCCTCGTGCGGTGCTGGTGGACCTGGAGCCAGGGACCATGGACTCTGTGAGGTCCGGCCCGTTTGGTCAGATCTTTAGACCCGACAACTTTGTTTTCGGTAAGCAGATACTCTCAAAATTTCATGTATGCACTGCGTATTAGATTTGAATTTGGAAATCTGATAGCTATATCCCCAGTCGGTCAGATAAGGTTAGCTGCTGCCTCCACGGCTGTGAAAGACGTCTTTATTTGCATGTGACCAGGCCAGAGCGGGGCCGGTAACAACTGGGCCAAGGGCCACTACACGGAGGGAGCGGAGCTGGTGGACTCGGTGCTGGACGTGGTGAGGAAGGAGGCGGAGAGCTGCGACTGCCTGCAGGGCTTCCAGCTCACGCACTCGCTGGGCGGGGGCACGGGCTCCGGCATGGGCACGCTGCTCATCAGCAAGATCAGGGAGGAGTACCCCGACCGCATCATGAACACCTTCAGCGTGGTGCCCTCCCCCAAGGTCTGTGTGTGCGTGTGTGTGTAGGTGTGAGTGTGTCTGTGTGTGTGTGTAGGTGTGTGTGTCTCTGTGTGTGTGTGTGTAGGTGTGTGTGTGTAGGTG